ATATATTTATATATATATATATATATATATATATTTATATGTATGTTGTTTATATGTATATTGTGTATTGTATATTATATATATATATACACGTATACATACACATATATATATATGTATTTATATACGTATACATGTATATATATGTATATATAAATATATATATATATATATACGCAAATGCATACAATGTAAATATATATATATATATATATATATACATATATGCATATATATATATATGTCCTATACCCCACAACTAACAAACAAATGCAAATAAAACGCATACTCTGTTTGTTTATTTAACTGTCTCTGCGCTGTCTCTTCCTTCTTCTTTTTCTTTCTTTGTCTGTTTCTGTCTCTGTTCATGTCTTTAACTCTCTCTCTCTCTCTCGGTCTCGCTGTTCTACAATATTTTTTGTATTTAATAATAATATTTAATAATAATATCAAATAATATATTAAATAATAATATTAAATAATAATATTTAATGACAATATTAAATAATAATATTAAATAATAATATTTAATGACAATATTAAATAATAATACTTAACGATAATATTAATATTTAATAACAACATTAAATAACAATACTATATAAACTATCTAAACCCTAAACCCTAAAAATAAAACTATAAAACTATTAAACAAAAGAAGTTATTACCTTTAAACAAATCTCTTAAAGGTTCTAAGACTTTCAACTTCATTCTCTCCGGTAAACCACCGACATTATGATGAGTTTTAATTGTAGTAGAGGGGCCTTTATAAGAAACAGACTCTATTACATCTGGATAGAGTGTTCCCTATACACCCCACACGCACAGCAAACAATACACATAAAACAATAATATTGCTGTCTACCATTGTAATAAAACTATTATCTTATAATCGACAATATTCATCGATTTGGGTTTATGATATTAGGGTTTATTATTAGGGTTTAGGATTAGGGTTTATTATTAGGGTTTATTATTAAGGTTTACTGGTGTTTATAAATAGGGTTTAAGGTAAGGATTTAAGATTAGGGTTTAAGATTAGGGTTTACGATTAGGGTTTACGATTAGGGTTTACGATTAGGGTTTACGATTAGGGTTTACGATTACTTGCAAGAGGAGGGTGCCTTCAACAGGAATATTTTTTTTTTGTATTGCCTCCTCAAAGACATCAATAAACAAACCGCCGATAATCTTTCTCTTCTTCTCGGGGTCAGTTACACCTTTTAAAGCAGCAAAGAAGCGAGAGCTTGCGTCAATACACTCTAAAGATATACTAGGAAAGCTCTGCTTTAATGCATGCATCGTCTCTGTTGCTTCATTCTTCCTATGCAGTAACAATATCGTACAACGCAAACAAACAAACACACATACACATACACATACTATTTAAAAACCCTAAACCCTAAACCCTAAACCCTAAACCCTAAATACTCAACATGCAAAACCCTCTGATCAGGTTTTAGTTTGCTTGTTTACAGGTCAAAGCATTCTCATGTGTGCAGCATCAGACGCAGCAGCAGATGCAGCAGCAGATGCAGCAGATGCAGCAGCAGATGCAGCAGCAGATGCAGCAGGATCAGCAGCAGCCGATTCAAAGGCCTTTAGCTACACCCATCAACACGTAGTCCAGTATATAACTAAACACTAAATAAACAAACGCATAAATAAATAAATAAATAATAATGCATAAGCTGTATGACAGATGAATAAAGGAGTAAATATCTTACCTAAGCAGCCCCGTATCGATGAAGAAAGCATGAAAGTTGCTGCCGATAGCCCGGTGCAGCAGCGCAGCAGCAACAGTTGAGTCAACCCCTCCTGATAGAGCTCCTACAACAGGCCTATTACCGATTTGCTGCTGCAGCTGCTTTATCTGCTGCGGTAAGAACCAATGCATGCACCAAGTTAGCTCTAAGCGGCAAACTCGCTGCAAAAAGTTTGTTAAAAGAGACACCCCACAAGCTGAATGCGTTACTTCTGGGTGAAATTGAAGTGTATAGACACCCAAAGAAGGAGAAGCAGCAGCAACATATCGGCAGGTAGATGTTGATGCAAGTGCCTGAGCGTATATACAGCATAAGCAACAAATAATAATTAACAGTTTATAATAATTATTATCTAATTATTAACAAAATAATTATTCTATATATATATCATCAAACACATCAAATACCCCAAGGGAGAAAACGCAAAAAGACAAACACTCAACATCAAATATTAAAACAAACAAAATGCATGCATGCATGCATGCATGCGGTATCTTGAGCTGCATAGCACCGTAAATAAAGGATGAATGCATAACATACACTGAAGTAAGGCGTTAGATCAATGCATGCATGCATACATGCATATATGGATGAAGTAGACTAAAGGCAAGGGAGGAGATGTATGCATGCAATGTGCATGCAGATTGCATGCATGCATGTTACATGCATATTGCACGCATATTGCATGCACATTTGCATGCACATTTGCATGCAGATTGCATGCATATTTGCATGCATTTGTTTCTTACAGTGAAAGAAGAGGGGAGCTGTTCTACTTTATCACCATGACTCATCCAGACAGGCACTTCAGGGCCCTTAACCCCAAAGAAAAGATCTCCTAGAGATGGTGGTGCTGCTGCATGCGCTGCAGGTACCTGCCAGGGGTCTCCTGTTGCTTCTGCTGCAGCATCTGCTGCTTGAGTTGCTGCTGTTGCAGCAGCAGCAGCAGCAGCAGCATCCATCAGACAAGGATCTTCAGGTAAAGGACATAGAGATATCATTGTCTTACCGAACTCTCGAGGCCCTTCACCAACTATTCTACCTCCTAACTGATAAACAATTTCTTGCATACCGTAACAAATGCCTAACATCGGCACTTGTTTCTGCTGCAGCAAATTCCATACATCGCGCCGTATATGAGGGGCATCTGCTTCATACACAGATGCAGGGCCTCCGCTTAGCACAACTGCTGCAGGTCTTGCTGCTGAAATCTCCTGAAAGCACCACATGCAGAAGAGAAGAAGAAGAAATCAAATTGAATGCCAAACCTGTACATACATACATCTCGAATTAACACCAGTAGCAGCAGCACTATCAGTTGTTGCTCTTGCTGCTGCTGCTGCTGCTCTATGCATGATTGCTTTGTTGTTGCTGTTTGGATATTTGGGGTGTATAGGCACCTCAACTGTTGCAGTACATGATAGAAGCTCGGAGTATACGCCGATGCTGCGCAGTCTTCTGACTATCAGGCGAGAAAATTGGGAGCCGAAGTCAAGAACGAGAACAATATGTTTCGAAGGCCTATTGTTGCCTTCATCCATTCCATTTTTAATTGAAGAAACCGTCATTGTTCATGAGATCAGCTTCACTTCAATGAAGCCTTTGTTTGTTGCGCAAGTTCTTGAGCAGAAACCCTCAGCCGTAACCCGGAAACACAGGGAGCAAAAGAGCAATTAAAAAGGAGTAAAACCAATAAGAAGAAGAAATTAAGATGCAAATATACGTTAAAACCAAAGAAGAAACAAAGACACACTCAAAACTCATTCAGATTCCGTTCAAGAATGCCTCCGTCTGAACTTGAGGTGTATGTGCAGCTACGATCATGTGGGGGAGGCGGCGGCGATTAAGCGGTAAATTGCAATGAAAAAAGAATTTTAAAGAAACTAATTTAAATAAATACATTTGTATTTATAAACCCAGCAAGAAGAACATTAAAAAAATCGTTCTTCTCCCTTAACACCTTCTTTCTATGTTTCTCTTGCTCGACCGTTTCTAACGAAGGCATTCAAGTTTTGTTCAATAACAGTCTACTGGTGCATTTCTCTTCTTAAATTAAAAATAAATAAAATTTTCCCTCTATTAATTTAATTTAAACAATTAAACTATATTACTTTATCGTTGTCTTCCCTCATCATTCTTCCTCTTCGGCCGCAGGAAGCGCTGACCACGTTATCTCTGTTGCAAACAAATTGGTGTATAAATGATTATTAAACTAACTTTGTGCTAATTATTCGATTAATTTTTTAAAGAGTCTTAAATTAGTATTAAATAATTACAGTATTAACGTCTAAATTAACAAAGATCTTTATTTTATCATGGTTGTTGTACCAGTATAGATTGCCGCTACAAGACAAAACAAAGCTTCTCTTCTTCTTGTGTTAAATAAATATTATTGTATTTTAAAGATAGAACCGGAATTATTATACAAAACAGCAGAAGGTAGGAACCTCACTAAAAAGCAAGAAAAAACAACACGTATTATGGATATAAACGTTATGTTTATGTTTTCCCAGAATGTACATATATATACAATGCATATATATATATATATATATATATATAT